CTCCTCTCCTCTCCTCTCCTCTCTCCTCTCTCCTCTCCTCTCGCTGGGCCTCTCCTTTCCTCTCCTCTCCTCTCCTCTCTCCTCTCTCCTCTCCTCTTCTCCCTCCTCTCCTCTCCTCTCTTTCTTCCTTTCAAATAAACACATACACCTTTAAAATTTTTTTTGACACGCAACCTGCCATTCTTAGAATATAACATTTATTGCTTAGATGGTTTGATACAAAGCAGCATCCTTCTCATTCCGAATCTGGAAGTTCTGTAAGCACACGATTTCTAATTGCGTTTTCTATGTATATGTTCTCCAGCTTCATGTTCACTCATAGTATGCATGTGGCTATGGAAATAGCCAGATAAACCTATCACAATCCTGGAAAGAAAATTTTCAAACCTGCTTGTGAATAATACTTAAATTGGCCAAATTCTTTTCTTTCTTTCATTTTTTGACAGGCAGAGTGGACAGTGAGAGAGAGAGACAGAGAGAAAGGTCTCTTTGCCGTTGGTTCACCCACCAATGGCTGCCGCGGCCAGCGCGCTGTGGCCGGTGCATCGTGCTGATCCGATGGCAGGAGCCAGGTACTTATCCTGGTCTCTCATGGGGTGCAGGGCCCAAGCACTTGGGCCATCCTCCACTGCACTCCCGGGCCACAGCAGAGAGCTGGCCTGGAAGAGGGGCAACTGGGATAGAATCTGGTGCCCTGACTGGGGCTAGAACCTGGTGTGCCGGCACCGCAAGGCGTAGGATTAGCCTGTTGAGCCATGGCGCCGGCCACCAAATTCTTTTCACCATTTTTCATAATAAAACCTTAAACTATCTTTGAGTTTTTGTTTATTTAATTTTTATTTATTTATTCTTTTTTTATTTTTTATTTTGACAGGCAGAGTTAAACAGTGAGAGAGAGAGAGAGGTCTTCCTTCCATTGGTTCACCCCCCCAAATGGCCACTATAGCCGGCGCACTGTGCTGATCCGAAGCCAGGAGCCAGGTGCTTCCTCCAGGTCTCCCTTACGGGTGCAGGGCCCAAGCACTTGGGCCATCCTCCACTGCACTCCTGGGCCACAGCAGAGAGCTGGCCTGGAAGAGGAGCAACCGGGACAGAATCCGGCGCCCCAACTGGGACTAGAACCTGGGGTGCTGGCGCCGCAGGTGGAGGATTAGCCTAGTGAGCCACGGCGCTGGCCTGTTTATTTAATTTTAATCCTACCTGTAAAGAAAGGTAGAAATCTAAAGTAAAACAGTCAACATTTCTCTATAACTTATTTCAAAGTTTCACAGCATTGCTCAGAGAGGCAAAAGAACAAAAACATAATCAAATCATGTACTGAACTGTTGAGAACAAGTAGCTGATTAATCTGTTTATAATCAGTTGCTCAGTCAACATCATAAAAAGGTAGGAATACTAGACAGATTATTTTATTTTTTAAAAATGAAGTAGCAATCAAAAATAAAACTCCAGACACTTAGGAGTTTATGGACAAATAGAATTAAAAGTATGTTAATTTTGATGCAAACAGTTTTAAAATCTGTACACAGTTTCTTTGTAATACACATCTTTTTTTTTTTTTTTTAAACAGGCAGAGTGGACAGTGAGAGAGAGAGACAGAGAGAAAGGTCTTCCTTTACTTTTGGGTCACCCCCCAAGTGGCCACTATGGCCAGCGTGTTACAGCTGGCACGTTGCGGCTGGCGCGTTGCAGCCAGCGCGATGCGCTGATCCGAAGCCAGGAGCCAGGTACTTATCTTGGTCTCCCATGGGGTGCAGGGCCCAAGCACCTGGGCCATCCTCCACTGCACTCCCGGGCCACAGCAGAGAGCTGGCCTGGAAGAGGGGCAACCGGGACAGAACCGGCGGCCCAACCAGGACTAGAACCTGGGGTGCCAGCCCCACAGGCAGAGGATTAGCCTAGTGAGCCACTGCGCCGGCTTTACTACACATCTTTTACAATTTATTTTATTTCATTCGTAAGGAGGAGAGACAAAGGGAGAGAGGGAGAGAAGGGGAGGAAGAGGAGGGGAGGGAGGGAGGGAGGGAGGGAAGGAGGAAACAGATCTTTCACTTGCTGGCTTACTCCCCTAACACCTGTGAGAACCGCAGCTGGGCCAGCTGAGGCCAGGACAGCAGATCTCAGGCCAGGTCTGCCCCAGGCAGCAGGGACCCGGGCACTTGAGCCCACCCTGCTCCTCCCAGGACGCACACGGGCAGGAAGCTGGTCTGAGGAGCAGAGGCAAGACTCAAACTGGGCGGATCATTACAGCGTGTGGGTGTCCCACGCAGCTGCCAACCACTCTGCACGGGCCCGTCCCCACAGAACACGCTGTCCGTGAACTTTTGGAGACCCCTGTACATAACTTAATATTTATCCAAAATAACTGACTTGGTTTAAGTCAGACTTTAATTTTGCTTAGATTTTCATCTCTTTATTTGAGAGAGAGAGATAACATTATATCAAAAGGAGGGTAGAGCATACTGGAGACTGGTTTAATATCTACACTTGAAAAATGAATTTTTCCCATAGCAAATATTTGAATTACTCCCTTCTCCTTGTGATAGTAATAGAATAATGTAAGTAGCGAGACCAACTACTGGAAAAATTAATCTCAGTCACTTGGAATGCATCTTATCAATCAGCCACCTCTGGACTTGACACTGACTCATTCTGTGCCTGTTTTTTACATAAACATGGCACTGTTATATCCCACCTGTCACCAGGACAGGGTAAGGGAGTATATGTCAGGGATCTGGGGTCTGATGGCTGGGATACAAATCCTGATCTGTCAATTCTTCCTATAGTACCATAAAAACAGAGCTCCTTCCACACCCAGGGGACAGATGCAGAACAACAGGGAGTGTATATGTCGGTAATAAAGCAGTGGGCAATGCGCTACACCCTGTGGTAACCTCTGAGATACCTGGACAGCTGGAGTTACACAGCCCTACGAGTGCCTGTGGTGGGACGGGCTCTGAGCCACCAGCTTCCCACAGAGGTCCCTCACTCAAGGCAACGGTGTGTGGCTCCTTCGTCAAATGCACCTCTTCTACTACGTGAGTGGGGAAGCTGAGTCACACTAACCCCATCTCCCTCCAGCCCTGGGTCCCCGCCGTGTGTCTGGAGGGGCCCTACTCTCAGACAGCACAGGTGTCCTGCAGCCTCCCCGGTGGGAGCCTTTGGGGGAGACCCTCTGATCAGAGGCCTAACCTGGCTGGTGGGGACCTTGCGGTAGGCAAAGTCTACCAAGTAAGCGGCACAGACTCCTTAGAGACCACGTCTGGGCTGCCGCACCCCGCGCCAGCCTCCACTACATCCTCCCTCAGCAATCAGGTGGGTTTGGCCTCCAGCTTGACTGTCGGATTATTTCTCAGACGGTTCAAACCCTCACCGTGCTATTTATCCATCACTCCCAAATATCTCGGTACCAGGAGTACCAGGTGTGACCTTCGTTTTAACAGGTGCAGAGAAATGAAGTGACTTCCCAAGACCCCACTGTGGGAACACAGCAGAGTTCATCTGCAACACGAAATACTGTTTCCTTGATGTATCTACTTGCTCACTTAGCATAAACCCCCACTTCCGGAGCGTACAGCTGTGCGTGTTGTTAGCACACTCCCAAGTCTGTGCAGCTACCGCAACTACTCTGCTCCTACAGGTCTGTCTGTTCTGGAGGTTTCCTGTGTGTGCCTAAAGTCACGTGTGTCACAGACATCCACAGCCAACCATGCTGTGTGCACAAATATTATGTGGGCAAAGACAGACTCCAGAAGCATGCTCATCATTTGACGGGTTGAATGAACACTTCTTCTCCCAGAAACTGAACACGAATTAGACTGGGAGTTATCCTTAATCATCCCTGTCCATCACACATTATATTGCTTTTTTCAGACCTCGCAAACAACAGCAGTGTTCTAGCGCCAGCTTGAAGATTATTCCGAAGCAAGAAGGTTACTGTTTTATGACAATAAGAAATCAGTAGTTTTGTACTTGAGAGAGACATAGGTGCAAACTTGCATTTCCTACTGGAGGAAGTTTAGCAACTGCAACGTTTACTGCAAACTCACAATCAGTCTAACCATGCGCTAGCAGTTTTCAGTTCCCTGCCTTCAGTTCACGGCACCTGAAATTCAAGGAATAATTCAAGTGGTAATATTTTTTAAAAATCATGGGTTTTCATAAAATGATGCTAAAATCATCAATACGTTTGGTCAATATGTTGAGAAGCAGTTTCGATTTCTCTGACTCTCTTAGTTGAGAGAGAACCTTACTATCAGCTATGAAGCGAACGGCAGCTGATGGCGACTGGAGTGACAGGAGAAGGCACTTACAGCTTGCTGGGAAGTGCCGGGCGCTCGTGAATGGTCTCCTCGTAGGGCTCCTCCTGGGCCGAGGAAGGGACGGGTGCAGGGTCCCTCGATTTTTCTTCCCAGGCCACTTCCGCCCTCAGCAGCATCTCCTCGATAAACTCAGACGCCGCAACATCTACAAGCAGCAGGAAAACCAGAGACAGTGAGCAGTGAGAACACGGAATCACGACCTCCCAATGACCCTGCGGTGCGCGAAATGCTGAGATCCATGAATCCACGGAGCAAAGCACCAAGACGGTAAGTTGCGGTAGGTATGAACTGCAGCGGCGCCCTTTGAAAGGACTGTATTTTTATATCAGTGGCATATTTAACTACAAATGAAGCACTACACGACAACAGTCACTGGGTGGTGAGGTGTGAATCCAGAAGCTGGGCTTGAAGAAGGTCACCTCATTCTTGCTGCAACTTGGAGAATATGAGTCAAAATGATCAAAATAGTTGGCCGGCGCCGCGGCTCACTAGGCTAATCCTCCGCCTTGCGGCGCCGGCACACCGGGTTCTAGTCCCGGTTGGGGTGCTGGATTCTGTCTCAGTTTCCCCTCTTCCGGGCCAGCTCTCTGCTGTGGCCCGGGAGTGCAGTGGAGGATGGCCCAAGTGCTTGGGCCCTGCACCCCATGGGAGACCAGGAGAAGCACCTGGCTCCTGCCATCGGATCAATGTGGTGCGCCGGCCACAGTGCGCTGGCCACGGCGGCCATTGGAGGGTGAATCAACGGCAAAAAAGGAAGACCTTTCTCTCTGTCTCTCTCTCACTGTCCACTCTGCCTGTCAAAAAAAAAAAAAAGATCAAAATAGTTGCCTCTTCTCAGAGACTGGATCATGAAAAAACACGTGGTGGGCAACCTGCCAATATCCTACTACGTGGGTAGATGTACGAATAAATACTTCACTGTCTTATCACAAACGTGGTCCTGGCCTCCTTCTACAATCTTCCTGTGTTCCATTGAAAAGACAAAGAAGCCTATTTCCTTACAAATTAAGCATAATTACAAATATGAGCAGCTGTAGAGAGATGGACCAACCAAATTTCCACTTATCAACAACTGAACCTGCAGTTTGATAGATTCTGGAGAAAAATCCACATCAGCATCAAATTAAAGAACCTACTGGGAGCAGGCGCCCTTTTTCTTTTCTTTTCTTTTTTTTTTTTTTTTTTTGTTTTTGACAGGCAGAGTGGACAGTGAGAGAGAGAGAGACAAAGAGAAAAGTCTCCTTTTACCGTTGGTTCATCCTCCAATGGCCACTGCAGCCGGCGCATCGCACTGATCCAAAGCCAGGAGCCAGGTGCTTCTCCTGGTCTCCCATGGGGTGCAGGGCCCAAGGATCTGGGCCATCCTCCACTGCACTCCCGGGCCACAACAGAGAGCTGGGCTGGAAGAGGGGCAACCGGGACAGAATCCGGCGCCCCGACTGGGACTAGAACCCGGGGTAACCCGCGCCACAAGGCAGAGGATTAGCCTAGTGAGCCGCGGCGCCAGCCGCAGGTGCTCTTTTTGAATCATCATGCAGTGATGTGACTTATGGGCTGATCCAGGTCATTCGGGTGCCACAAGAAGATGCTGATGCCAAGACTGTGCCATTATTTGCTCATCCTAAGGAATCCGCGTGAATGGTAGCAGAGAGTTCAGCTTCTTCACTTTGAGAGGTTAAGTTTCTGTCTCACCCAACGCTATTCCCAAAACTGGGTTTCCTCCCCAGATTGGTTTAAACGCGTCCATTCCAGATTCGAGGAACAGTGAGGCTGTAACACACAGCCGGCAGTTTCCACTGGCCCCGTCACCAGACGGCTCTCTCGCTTCCTAAGTTTCTTTGCAGTCTCTCTGCATCATAGTTCTTTGCCCCTTGGGTCTGAGACACGCATTTTTACTCAGTTAACGAATATCTACTGAGGGTCCAGTACTGCACTGCTTCCTGCCAGTACTCCAGAAAGCAGGGGCTCTGCGCATGGTAGACGGAACCTGGCCAGCAGGGGAAGAGGAAGCCTCCTCATGCACTGTACTGAGGACCAGAACTCATCCAGACCAGAAGTTTATTCATTTACGGGGTCCCAAGACAACCAATGTTCACTGCTCTGGGTATGTTTTGGAATATGTGATGTGAGACTTAAAAGGTGAGAGTGTGAGAGACGGGAACCCAGGTGGTCCCAGTCAACCACCTCCTTCCTCCCTGCCGTGGGAGAGACCAGGGTCTGGATCTGGAAAAGGTGTTCTCCTGTCAGCACTGGAGGATGCAATGCCTTCACTATGAACCATCACTTACAAGGAGAGGAAAGACGCTACAAATTTACCTTCTCTGACAGTAACATTTCTGTTTGTTCTTTTAATATTTACCATTTGTCATATTTTATAGTGAATGTTGAGACTGGTAGACTGTCACTAATATTAGCCTGAGTTCTTAAGTTTAAGACCAGTAAGCTATTTATACTTCTGTTGACCTTCATTTTAGCAGACACAATGAACAAATATACATTAACAATGATATTAATTCCAACAAAATATAAACCTAACCATACTCCTAAAAGTACAGCAAATAAGAAATCTAAGAAAAGTCAGTGCAAAATGTTTTTATGTTAGAAGCACAGCAACAAGAAAAATAAACATCAGCTGCTGAGAACAGTTCCCTTTAAAAATTGTATTTTACTGTGTTACTTATGCTAGATTTTCCCCTTTAATGTTTATAATTCTTATTTTTAATTTTGCACAAATAATTGAGTACTAACTTTGCTGATGAAAGATACAATTTTTGTGCCAACCATTTATTAAATAAGTATATAAACATACAAAAGAATTTTCCTCACACTATTTGTTGAACTCTTGACTTACTGTAGGGTTAATCTTATGAGTAGAGAGTAAACTGAAAATATATCTTTGTAAAGATTAAGAGTGGAAATAGGAGGGAGGGAGGAGGAAGAAGAGTGGGAGTGTGGGCGGGAGGGAGGGTGGGGTGGTAAGAATCACTATGTTCCTAAATCCGTATCTATGAAATGCATGAAATTTGTATATCTTGAAATAAAATTTTAAAAAGAATAGTGATTAAAGGGATTGGAGAAATCTTCAAAAAGATTTACTAAAAATAAGCAACATCCAGTGAAGATTTTCAATTTTTTGAATTAGCGTGCAAGAGTTCATCTCTTTATTTCTTACAGTCCACATAGAAAACAGTGTGTTATTTAAAAGTACCCTAATGAGTGAGCTTGTATCCATTAAAATGAAAAACAGTCACATAACAACACCCTTAGATGTGAAAGGAGGAGACCTTGACTGCCTGGGGGTCCCAGGAAGCCCACCACCTACCTGAGGGCTTCTCTTCATTGCAGTTCACCAGGTTTGGGTTTGCCTGATGCATCAGAAGAAGTTTCACCAGGCTGGTCTGAAACACGGAAGAGAACTGGGTGAGAAAGCACACCGCATACTGAGGATTCACCAGCAAGCACACGGGAGCGGCCTTCCAGGGCCCTTCTCCGTCGGGTGGAACAAGGAAGTACCGCCTTCTCCCAGGGAACTGCTGACAGTCTCCACTCTCATTTTCTCTTCTGGAAATGCCCCATGTTCAAACCATTGCAGCATTTTATGAATTCAGAACAAAATCACTCAACCAATGAGTGCTCTACTGCTGAGGAGTTGAAAGGATTATTTATACCTCACAAGTTTATCTAGGGAACTTTATATAAGGAATTATTTAGCATAGTGGGTGGTGTTGTGTCTTAATCTGACAATCCATCAAAGTCTTACTTGTTGGAACTGTCCCTCCATGGTTGTATCATGGACACTGAGAACCTGCAGTCACATACTGCATACTCAACTTCTAAGAAAGAGGCATCTTGATCAGTGATCAATAGATTTAAAAAATACTCCATCATACACACAAAGGATATAGAATGGAGTCACATGCATCGCCTTAAAACAGCAGTCATAAATTTCAGTACAACCAGCTTCTAAAAATACATCATTTATGGTATCTTTGTGTGTTTCCTCTCAACACTCTCGCTGTCTCCACTTCTGGAGTTGACCATTGTTGTGAGTTCAAGTTTGATCATCAGTGTCTTTTTATGCTTGGCAAACACACACAAAGGTACTGCTAAACGACGTACTGCTTAGTCTAACTGTGACGTTGAAGAAAACGAGGTTCTGCAGCACGTGTGCCTTGGCGCATTGCTAATGTGGCTGACCCACGCGTGTCGAAGTCACCAGGCTGAAGCGGACCCATTCACTGGCTGTGCAGAATCACACTGTGCACACACATCACAACTTATCCACCACCCTCTCAGGGACGTATTCAAATCATCTGCAGTTACACACTTGTTTTTTTTTTTTTTTTTTTTTTTTTTTTTGACAGGCAGAGTGGACAGTGAGAGACAGAGACAGAGAGAAAGGTCTTCCTTTGCCGTTGGTTCACCCTCCAATGGCCGCCGCGGCTGGCGCGCTGCGGCCGGCGCACCGCGCTGATCCAAAGCCAGGAACCAGGTGCTTCCTCCTGGTCTCCCATGGGGTGCAGGGCCCAAGCACTTGGGCCATCCTCCACTGCACTCCCTGGCCACAGCAGAGAGCTGGCCTGGAAGAGGGGCAACCGGGACAGAATCCGGCGCCCCGACCGGGACTAGAACCCGGTGTGCCAGTGCCACAGGCGGAGGATTAGCCTCTTGAGCCGCAACGCTGGCCGTATGCACTTATTCTTACAAATAATGTTCCTCTAAATATCCCTGTTCACACCTCACGGTGCAAGCATTTCTTCAGGAGTGTGCACTTAGCCCTGAAAACGCTGGACGGTGATTAAGGCATCAAAGTGAAAAGACGGCTCCAAATTTTCTTTTTTTCATACTGGTTGATCACAAGTACATTCCCACTTTTCCCAAGTGTTCTGTTGCTCCACATTCTAGACACTGGTTTTGGGATCAGACCAAAACTTGGGCACAGAACAGGACACTGTGGTTTAAAGATACATTGTTGCTGCCGGTGCCATGGCTCACTTGGTTAATCCTCCGCCTGCAGCGCCAGCATCCCATATGGGAGCCAGGTTCGAGGCCCCATGGCTCCTCTTCCAGTCCAGCTCTCTGCTGTGGCCCAGGAGGGCAGTGGAGGATAGCCCAAGAGCTTGGGCCCTGCACCCGCATGGGAGACCAGGAGGAGGCACCTGGCTCCTGGCTTCAGATCGGCGCAGTGCGCTGGCTGTGGTGGTCATTTGGGGGGTGAACCAACGGAAGGAAGACCTTTCTCTCTGTCTCTCTCTCTCACTAACTCTGTCAAATTAAAAAAAAAAATGGCTGGCGCTGTGGCTCACTAGGCTAATCCTCTGCCTTGCGGCGCTGGCACACCGGGTTCTAGTCCTGGTCGGGACACCGGATTCTGTCCTGGTAGCCCCTCTTCCAGGTCAGCTCTCTGCTGTGGCCTGGGAGGGCAGTAGAGGATGGCACAAGTCCTTGGGCCCTGCACCCCATGGGAGACCAGGAGGAGGCACCTGGCTCCTGGCTTCGGATCAGCGTGGTGTGCTGGCTGCAGCACGCTGGCCGCAGTGGCCATTGGAGGGTGAACCAATGGCTAAAAGAAGACCTTTCTCTCTGTCTCTCTCTCTCTCACTGTCCACTCTGCCTGTCAAAAAAATAAATAAATAAATAAAGACCTAATGGAGAGGTACAAATGGAATGACATTATATAATCATGGATAATAAAAGTCAGTAAGGCTAACTTGCCATTTCTCTCCCCCAAAAAAAGAAAAAAAATGAAAAAAAATCAAAATATACATTGTTTTGAAGACAGAGCTTTCTAGCAACTATTGGAATCTTCTCATCTCCTTTCTTTCCTTTGTGCTCTTTGGTTACTTTTCTACCCTGTGATTTTCTAGGAATTTGCCATCTTTATTAAAGTCTTCAAGTTTATTGGCATCACACTGCTGATGCCTGCCACGGTTTGAATGCAATGACTTGTGAACTGGACTGGGGTCTTCAAGATGGGGACGGGGGCTATCCAGGCCTTTTTATCCCTGCTGACCCTGCATCCTCCCCACCATGTGGGGTCATGTGCTCAGCCCCTCTGCAGGAATGAGCCCAGTAAAGCACCATCTTGGAAGCAGAGGCCAGGCACTCACCCAAGCCAAACCTGTGGGCACCTGGATCTGGGCTTCCTAGGCGTCAAAAGTAAGAGAAATAAATATCTGCTCTCTAGAAAGACTCAGTCTTGGGTATCTTGTTATAGCAGCACAAATTGACGGTTCTTTCCCCCATACTGATTCTCTTTCCTTATATTCTTAATAGCTATGCCATTTGTATAGTTGTGATTTATTTTGCACATGCAATAAAGGCTTTCTCTGTCTCTCTGCAAATACTTCCAGAACTTGATTCATCTCATTAACACTTCCAAGAAGCAATTTTTGGAAACTGTGGATCCTTTCTGTTGCATCTCTTCTCTACAGTTGGAATTTTGCTCTGGGGGGCATGGTATTGCAGCACAGAGGGGTAAGTCACTGCTTGCAATGCCCACTTCCCATATCTGAGGGATGATTCAAGTTCTGGCTGCTCCACTTCCAATCCAGCTCCCTGCTTATGTACCTGGGAAAGCAGCAGATGATGGCCAAACTGCTTGGGCTCCTGCACCCACATGGGAGACCCAGATGGCATTCCAGGCTCCTGGCTTTGACCTTGACTAGCCCCGGTAATTGTAGACATTTGGGGATTGAATCAGTGAAAGGAAGAGATCCCTCTCCCTCCCCCTCTCCCTCTCCCTCTCTCATCTCCCCACTCAATCACTCTTTCAAATCAATGAATAAATCTTCATTTTTTTTTTCTTTTTGCTCTTGCAGGTGGATCCAAGACCGTGGCTGAGAAAGGGGCCCCAGCAGCTCTTCCCTGCAGAGACAGCAGCGGGAACAGCTGCACACACACCAGGTCACCTTCCCGAGAGTTCTGGTGTCCGATGAACGACCATGGTGCCTCATTTTGTTATAAGAAAAGTTGCATGGATGAAAGCCAGAAGGAAGCAGTTGCCTGCATCACCTCTGCCCCAGCTGCAAAGAGTGCATTGTGGAAAGACGCCTCCAACCAGGGGAAATGACAGCAGACTAAATCCCAGTGCAAAAAAAAAAATCAGCCTGAGAATCCAGCCTTGCTCCCAGACCCTTAGCTGTGGAGTAAATATTCCATACAGTACTGGAGCTCCTAGCTAGAGCAATTAGGCAAGAGAAAGAAATAAGACATCCAAATTGGAAAGGAGAAAGTAAAATTGTGATTGCTTGCTGATGGCATCATCTTATTCACAGAAAACCCAAAGGCTCCAACAAAAATCTATTAGAACTCATTAAAAACTTCAGTAAAGTTATAGGACAGAAATCCAATGTGCAAAACTCAGCAGCATTGTTAAAGACCAAAAGCGAATCATCTGAAAAAGAAATCAAGAAAGCAACCCCATTTCTAATAGCTACAAAAAAAATCTGGAATAAATTTTACTGAAAACATAAAAGATTTCTACAATGACAACTATAAATCTTCAATGAAAGAAATTGACAAGGAAACGAAATGAAAGAATGCCCCATGTTCATGGATTGGAAGAATTAATATTTTTAAAATGGAAATACTGCCCAAAGTTATTCGCAAATTTATTGCAAATCCTATCAAAATCCCAATGACTATTTTAACAGAATTAGAAAAAGCACTACTAAAATTTGCATGGAACTACAAAAGATTCCAAATACCCAAAGTGTAAACTTCAGCCTGGATTCCAGTACAGGTGTCAGGGGCACAGGCACTTGGGCCATGATCTGCTGCCTTCCCAAGTTCATTAGCAGGGAGCTGGATCAGAAACAGAGCAATGGGGACTTGAACCAGCACTTCAACACGGGATGCTGGTATCACAGGCTTGCGGCTTAACCAGCGGTGCCACAATGCTGGCTCCCTGTAGATTAAGACTTAAACACCATTTACTTCGTATCTCATACAGAGAAACACAGTGTGCTGTTTCCATCATGCATCTGTTCTACTTATCTTTAGACTATGATTTCTAGAAACAGTAGGTTTTAAAGTAATGTGTTCCTATAATAAAAAGTAGGCAAAGGGAAAATAAGTTTATTTTTATTAAACAATTACTAAAACAAGGAAAAATAAATTATTCAAGTGTAGAGCAGACTCCCCGGATATTCAGATAGGCAGGAGAAAGGCTACCGTTGTGGTGCAGCAGGTTAAGCCACTGCTTGCCATGTCAGCATCCCATTTCAGTGTCTATTTGAGTCCCAGCTGATGCGTTTCTGATCCGGGCTTCTGCCTGGATGGCAACGGAGGATGGTCCTTGTACCTGGGCCCCCGCCTCCCACATGGGAGACTCAAATGGATTCCTGGCTCCTGACTTCAGCCTGGCCTAGGTCCCGCTGTTGTGGCCATTTGGACA